GCACAGAGAATGGTTGGAAGTAGACAGAGAAGTGGCAGGACTAGAGTCAAGAAGATGCTTAAAGTAGACTAGTATAAGAATTGTCACCTAAAATAGAAAAGAAGGGGCAGATCCTGGGACTAAGTAACAGAACTTGGTGATTAACTGGTTATGAGAAATAAAGTGTCAAAATTGCTTTCCTCTGATTCCACCTTATCCCAAGAGTTGCAGAATGGGAGATCTAGAAAGAACTGGGGACATTGTCAGAGTCTTTTCAAGTCTTTATTTTATTTTATTTATTTTTGAGAAGGAGTTTCACTCTTTCACCCAGGCTGAAATGAAGTGACGCAGTCTTGGCTAACTGCAACCTCTGCCCCCTGGGTTCAAGTGATTCTCCTGCCTCAGCCTCCTGAGTAGCTAGGATTACAGGCACCTGCCACCATGCCTGGCCAATTTTTGTATTTTTAGCAGAGACAGGGTTTCACCATGTTGGTTGGGCTGGTCTCGAACTCCTGACCTCAAATGATCCACCTGCCTTGGCCTCCCAAAGTGCTGGGATTACAGGCATGAGCCACCATGCCCAGCCAGAGGTTTCTCAATTCTTAAAATACACAATTTTATTTTTCCCCAAGGACTTCATAATACATTATTATGGTAATAATAATTTATTTCATTATAGTGTACAGGTAATCATCCAACATCTTGTTTCACTGCATTGTTGTTGGGGCAAGACGTTTAAACATTAGCATTTAGTTAGACATCCAGGAAGCAGTCACCTGTTTCTATTTCTGTATACCAGAATTCAATTAAACAAAATAAACCTGCTCTACAGTATGAAATAGGAGAGAGAGCAATGGAAAAAGGGTGAAGACACCAGGGTTCTGGTCCCAGTTCTCCAGCTAACTCCACTATGTCAACCTGAAACACATGACTTCCCTGGGTCCACATTTCCTTATCTGTAAAACTGGCTGGGAGGGGAAGGTAAAGGCTGAAAGTGATTTCTACCTGTGTTCAACAGAACGCTGGGATTCTGGGGAGGTACTTCAGGAGCTCCCAAGGAGGCAAGGGAGCAGTTGAGTGGACAGTCTCCCATCCACCACCCATACCCCCTCACCCTGAGATATATTAGGGAACTTTATAAGATTTCATTAAGTCTACAGTATGGCCATACCTCCACCCCCACTACCCTGGAAAAATTACTGGTCTAGATGCTGTCTCTCTAAGGATATAATTACTTAGGAGTCAGCTGTTTGATCTCCCAAAGAAAGATAATACAAGTTGATAGCTGTGTGGATCTGCAAGTTGACACCACACTATGATGTTAAAAAAAAATTCACAAGAGCACAAATGACACACATCCTTTTAGAATTGGAGCAGGGGGGCGGGGTCAAGCAGGACACTAAACTTTCATTCTAAGAATAAACTTTCACATTGGATGAAGGCAACCAGAGCTATTGGCCAATAATGGTACTTACTTTAGTCTTATTTTAATGTTTTAAGGAATAGATATTCACATATCACTTGTGCATTAAAAGTATATTTCTTTCTTTCTTTTTTTTTTTTTTTTTTTAGACAGCATCTCACTCTGTCACCCAAGCTAGAGTGAAGTGGCGAGATCTCAGCTCACTGCAACCTCCTATTCTTGGTTCAAGTGATTCTCCTGACTCAGCCCTCCAAGTAGCTGGGAATACAGGTGCATACCACCACACCCAGCTAATTTTTTTTTATTTTTAGTAGAGATAGAGTTTCACCATGTTGGCCAGGCTGGTCTTGAATTCCTGACCTCAACTGATCTGCTTACCTCAGCCTACCAAAGTGCTGGGATTACAGACATGAGCCACCGCATCCAGTCCCAAAAGTGTATTGATTTCTGAAGAAAAAACCTTCAGAGAATCACACACACATGTACCTCTGACAACTGATGTCTACATAGCTCAGAGCACAAGGACTGTGACAATATCACAAGACTCCCTGACCTCAGAGGCTTCATTAGGGGCACCAAGCCACAGTGAACAGCAAGTACCTAAATATAACACAATTTTACTACTGCCTCACACTTTGTAATTGTGGGAACTTGGAGGCTAATCAGAGAATTGGGTTGACTCTTCTTTGAAGACAGGAGGGATCACAGTGATGGACCAAAACAAACACACCCTAGTACAGGATTTTCCAAAGTACATATTGCAGTTTGCAGCAGGTTTTGAGAAAATCAACTTACAGGGTGTTTATATTTAATATTGTTAATGTGGGGTTGATTTTTAAATGAATTTTAATATCAGTAAGGTAATATGTAATATCAATTGTTATTATTTTATTCAACTCAGTAATAAAATTTTTGTGATCATTTTGCTTCCATTTTATAAACTCTATATATGTGCATACATGTCACAAGGTACTTGGATCTTTCTGGGAGCTGTGAAAAAAAAATTGGAAAGCACTGCTTTGGTAGATATTGAGAGCAAGAGAAGAAGCCTGATCTTAAATTTTATCTTGACAGACACTTTGGGAAGTTTGGCTTAAAAATTAAGGAAAAGGTGGGGATAGTAGAGAAGGACTTATGCCCAGTATTTCCTGAGTGAAGATGACACACACATACCTCTGACAACTGATCTCTACACAGCTCAGAGCACAGGACTGTGACATCGCAAGACTCTCTAACCTCAGAAGCTTGGGGCCTTAGGGGTCCCAAGCCACAGTGAACAGCAAGACCTAAATATGACACAATTTTACTACTGCCTCATACTTTGCAATTGTGGAAACTTGGAGGCTAATCAGAGAATTGGGTTGACTCTCCTTTAGAGACAGTAGGGATCATAGTGATGGACCAAAACAAACACACCCTAGTACAGGTTTTTCCAAAGTGCATATTGCAGTGTGTAGTGAGGCATAGACACTGTGCTCAACCTTTATCTACCCAACAATAGTTGGCCTTATTGGTGGGGGGCACTGGGAGTTGGCTTGTCAAGAATTTCACCTGTTTTCTAGATGAAGGCAGTTTAAGTAATCCCTCTGAAGTCACAACTAATAAGAGGCAGATTCCGAATTCCAACCTGATAATCATCTGTTATTATAGTTCACATTTTCTTAGCCATAGAGGAAGGAGGAAGAGAGAAACTTGTTTACTTAAAGTTAGCTTTAAACAATCCTACTTGGCTCTAATTCATGACTACTATTATCACCCTGGCTAATATTGAGTAAGCTTTCCCTCACTTTGTTCAGGCAGTCTATTAAGTGCTTTAAAACCTTTATTTCACTTAATCCTCACAAAAGCTTTACGAGATATGTGCTATAATCATTGTTATTTACTGGAAGCTTTGAACAGTTCACTAACAGTTCAGTGTCTAGTGTCACATAAACATCATTGATGCAAACCACATTAAATAGCTGAATGAAGTTTATTTATATTCCTACATATAGGGAAACTATCTGCCAAAATATATATTTCCCCTCCAAGTGTTGGAGTCAAACAGTTGAAATATCAATTTCTTAACAATAAAGTGAAAGTGAGTTTAGAGGTTCGCTTAGGATTACGAAGTTTTAATTCTGGGGATAGAATACCCAGGGGCAGAGGTGGGAGCAGAACTCTATTTTTCTAAAAAGGTAGCTCAAGCAGCTTCAGAAATCCCCAGCTGCTGTGAAGTTTGAGATGAGCATGTGAGGCACAGGAGAGACGACTGTGCAAAGCTGTGGGATTTTTATAAATTTGCATTCATAGCCGGAGCTGGTGATTAGTGAAATTTTGGATATAAATTGAGGTGAGGTTTGAGGTTTGAGGTTTGATCTATTTCCCTGTGCATCATGAGTGTTCAACATCTAGTCTTATCAACTTCAGACAGTTTCTAGGACCTATATCTTGCAGAAAACCTTGTAAGCCAGAGGGACTTGGGGTTTTCAGTTTTCTGGTTTCCCTACCCTTTTGCAAGCCTCTCTCTCTTTTATTCTCAGCATTACCCTTAAGTTTTGTAGAATCCTGTCTGAATGAGATTTGATTTTAGCTGAGCAATTCTTATGTCCTATCAAGCTTGTAAAAAGAACATTCTGCCTACACACCTTCCTATTGCATCTGTTCCCAACCTAAAAACACAAGAGTCAAATTGGTCTGTGAGCAAACTCTAAGTTGACCTTCCACTGACAAATTAGAGGTAACAGAGTGGCTATTCCTAAAGGGAGGGGATGGGTAAAATGAAATCAAACAGGGTGGAGCTTCCAAGGGAAGTTATAAATTCTTGTTTGCAAAGTCACACCTACATCCTAATTGGAAAAAAGTGGAAAGAGCCTGTTCATTCTGCCCCTCAGCTATCCTTTCCTACCTGGTTTCACTCGTGCAGATACACACGAGTCAGATTTCCAAGACACACACGGAGATACACAAATTCATGTTTTCCAAAGTACAGAGGAGATTGGTGTGGAGGGTAAGAGAATGAAGCCTAAGAGGGTAGATGGTTGGAAACCTGATGGGGGATGAGCAAGGGGTAAAGTTAGGCCAGTGACGGGTTACAATCAAAGTAGGAAAGTGACATTGAACATGGTTAGCACAGAGGCATACGTTGTGGTCCTGCACAATAGATTCAGATTCTGGCCGAACATTGCTTTATATACTGAGGACATATTATAACCTCCTAGAAATGAAATATATGCACTTCTGGGCCAGTATGGTTGTCACCATATCAGATGAAAGGAAAAAGTAATTAGGAATTTTTAAGAATGGTGCTTTTACCGCTATCAGTTCAGCTTCACAGATCAAGAAGTGCCTAATGACTGCAGGAAGGGAAGCTCAAAGGCTCCAGGTTTCTTAGTTGCATCTGTTTGGGAAGAGCCTGGGCTAACAAAAGAGGAAAGCAACAGGTTCCCACAGGCAGAAACTCGATCCAGTCCCCGCACCTCCTTGCGCCCATGCCAAGCGCCACCTGAGCACGGCCCAGGCCTCCACTGCCCTGCCCGCGGCCCGCTCTGCAAGGCCAGGCCACAATGGCTTCCTGTCTCCTTGGGCCCAGGGTGGGTGCCAGTTTTCCAAGGCTCACCTGCTGGGAGCCAGGTGCAGAGCAGCAGCCAAGGTGCGGGCAGTTTGGGCCACGCCATACCGCCCCTTCTTTGGCCTTTTCAGCTCAGGGGCTTCGGGGCACCGCGTCCTTCTTCATCAGATGCCGCCCCAGGACGCACCACCTTCTCCAAGGAACGCCTCGGGTTTCCCCTCACTTCAGCTCCGCGCGGAGGGAGGGTCCGCTCTGGTCTCCCGGCAGGTGCCGCCCGGCTAGTCCGTACCTGCGGCGCTCCCAGCGGCTCCGCCTCCCGCCCCGCGCGCCACCGTTTCCTGCTCCGCCCCCGCCTCCCTGGAGACCGCGGCTACCTCCCTACCTGCCGCCACCACCTGCTCGCTGAAACACGGTTTCCACTTTCCTCCAGAAGTTCTAGGGAAATCTCACCCCCTGCAAATTTATCCCTCTCTCCTTCTAGAATTATGTGGATATAACTTTCCTGGGTGCGTTTCCTGCGTTACATTTCCATTCTTTTGTAAATACTTGCAAAACATTGTTTCGCTAAAAGCACAGTAATATGAAGTTTACTCGTAATGTCTGTTCAGATTTTCTAGAAACTAAAGATTCGTTTCTAAGCCAGGTGCAGTGTCTCACAGCCTGTAATCCCAGCACTTTGGGAGGCTGAGGTGGGCGGATCACCTGAGGTCAGGATTCAAGACCAGCCTGGCCAACATGGCGAAACCCATCTCTAATAAAAATACAAAAAAGCCATGCATGGTGGCGCGCCCCTGTAATCCCAGCTACTCAGCAGGAGGGATAACCTGGGAGGGCGAGGTTGCAGTGAGCAGAGATGGCACCACTGCACTCCAGCCTGAGTGACAGAGCAAAACTCCGTCTTGAAAATAAAATAAATAAAATAAAATAAAATAAAAAAGATGTGTTTCTAGAAGACAGACATAAACTAGAGAAGTAGACTCAAATTTCTACATCTATTAAAGTAAAATATTTTAGAAAAATTAGAAAACTATAAAGTTATGGGAGTTTAAAAAAATACAGCTCCCACTTTCCATAGCTAGGCATTGTTAACATAGGTATATTTATTTTTATTTTTTCTTATCTTTCATTGTCAATGAAAAGCCACTCACAGACCTCGGCCCCTACCAAGATTTTGACCTTGCAAGATCAAGGTTTTGACCTTTTGCTTTGCAAAGACTCTAGGTCTCTTCGCACCAGGCCATGTAGCATGTAATCTCAGTCTCTCCTTCCATGAAAGGAAGCCCACCAGCCATCACATTTTTCTTCAAGAAAAGAATTACAAAAATTCATTAAACACAGTTTCAGGAAGCTCCCATTCTGGTCACTAACCTTAGAAGTCAATATTATTTCTCCTGAGCTCATATCCTGCCTGCTTTGCTTTGAGGCGGCCTCTTCTCCTGGGCTGCTGGTATCCTTCATATCCCCTCCAGCCAGAGGAGCATCCTTGTCCTGGAAAGATTCGGGATTTTAACCCAGCCTCTTCTCCCTCTCTTTCCTCCTCCCAGTTCCCTCCTGGATCTGGCGTCTCTTTTCCCCAGTGGGCCTCTTCTCTTCCAAAGAGTAAATTCAGGAAGTGTGTGGCCAAAGATAGATGATAAAATGTTTAGGAGCCTCATACGTCTTTGTGGAGGGATTCTACCACAGCAGCAGCAGCAGGAGGAACCTCAGTATGAGTGGTTGGGGGTCAGGTCCCTCAATCCCCTCTAGAGACCCTGTGCATGCTCCCAGCAATATTGTTTATGTTTGGATGTCTGTGATCTTGAGGGGATTTGTATGGTTTCTGGTCGTGTGAATAGTCTTCAGCAAATGCTCAATTCCAGTCTAAAAAAAAAAAAAAAAAAGTGAGCCCCGTCCTTCCTACAACTCCCTTCCATACCCCTCAGCCCCTGCTTTGGTATAAAAGCCATTTTAATATTCATCTAAGCCAGCATTTCTCCCATGTTTGTTCATTAAAGCCAGCATTTCTCCCATGCTTTATTTCATTAAAGTCTTACAATAACTGCATAAAATAGGGGCTATTAATATCAATAAAATTTTATAGATGTGGAAACTGAGGAACAAAGAGAAAAATTGTCTAAGGTCACAATGCTGGTAAATGGCAAACTAATGAGCCTAGGTGAGATGGTCTGACTCCAGAGCTTGTGCTCTTAGCTGTTATACTATAGACCTTCACCTAGCTATTAATATAGTCCATCCATCTGTATTTACAGCTAGCTGGCTCTGTCCGTGTGTGCTAATACAATTTCTTTCCACATGTTATTTGGCTCTACATAAGGGAAAACTGAATCCCACAACTCTGGGTGCTCTTGGGCCAGTCATTCTTCCCACCTGTGCCATTGGTCCAATAAAGATTAGATAAGAGCATATACTTGGCTCAGAACAGCAAACACTCATTCATTGCTGTATATAAAGTAAAAATCACTTGGCCTGCTAATCGTGACTTCCTCCTATACAAAGCAATAATAATACCTACCATGTATTAAACACATTGTGCTAGGCACCATTCTGAGCACTCTTTAAAAAGACTAGCTAAGTGTGCTAGTGAGAAGGGGGAAGAGAACAAGGAGTTTGAGCTGTAGCTGACTGGGAACAACCAACTGAGATAACTCACTACCCATCAGCCTAACCCCCAAGCACTTTCATTATTGAAGTTAATACAAATTCAATAATTCGCACTGAACAGCACTGTGATGCAGGGACTATGATTGTCCCCATTTTACAGATGAGGTGCAAAGGTTCGTTAACTTACCCAGGTTACCTAGCTTATAAGTAGCAGAGCTGAGATACAAGTTCAGGCAATCTATTTTCAAAACACACACCTTTCACCACCCTAGCTGTACAATGCTTCTGTGGGTTAACTGAGCTAGGGCCTGACCACAAAGTACTAAGCTGTTATTTCATCATTAATAATCATGTTTCCTAGTTGAAACTGTGTCCATGAATGTTTCTGAATACTGTGTGTTTTCTGAATACTTTATATGTGCATCTCTATTTGAGAATAGTGTAATATTTGTACATTTACATGTGTACAGTATTTATCAAGAATGGAGAAGATTTTGTAGATACATAGGGAAAAGAATGAAGAATCAGGTAAGTAGAAATCATGCACCAGGCACTTAGAGCTAAAGGAAGGTAAGAAATGTAAGTAGCTGATTCACACTAGAAGATTCAGATTATGTCTTATGCATTTTGTATTCCCAGCATCTAGCATAGTATCTGAAGTATAGATACACTCAATAAATATTTGTTGCACTGTTTATCGATACTTCCTGGAGGTAGGAATTATTTCAAACCCATCTGCTTTGGGTTTGAAAATGAATATGACTTTGCCACACCAATCCAAGAAGAGAGACCAGCCTATACAAAAATCACAGCAACAGTACACAGCATAGCTGAACTATAAGCACTTTAGTTTTGCTTGGGTGGTGTGTTAGAAAGCTAGCCACAGTAAATAAAGAGCCTTGTATGACCAGCTGGAGAACTAATACTTCATACAGAAGACAATGGAGAGTCAATGAAGCATTTTAAACTGGGATAGGCATAATGAGAATTGCCTTTTCAAAAGATAAACTTGGCAGCAGTGAGAAGAATGGTAGGTAGGAATTTAGATGAAAGATAGGGAGAGTAGTTAGGAAACTGTTAAATTATAGTTAAGGTGGGAGAACTGAGGGCCCAAGCCAAAACTGGTGTTGGAAATGGAGAAAAGAGAATATTTTGACAGATATGTAGAATGTGGAATTGATGTAATTGATGATCAATTAGTGTGGGGGTTGAGAGAAGGATATAGGTTTCTGACTATTAACCCTAGATGGATGGTGATACCTTTAATGAACATAGATATATAGAAAGAATAAAAGGTTTTCAAGTACCTCAGACACATTACACTAGAGAGTAGTGGACCATCTAAATAAATCTCCGAAGGATGGCTGGACACATTTATTAAGTGGAATTGGCTGAATGAGGTTGGTAGGGGCTGCACTCCTGTATAGGGAAATCTGGGTCAGCAGGGACTGAGAGACCTTCTTGGCTATAACATGGGAGTGAGCCATCTTAAAAAGAAATTTTCCAGCTGCAGTCCAGTCTTCAGAAGAACTGCCATCTTAACTTCAAATACCTGAGAGACACTAAATTAAAAACCATACAGCCAAGCTGCTGTCAAATTCCTGACACACAGAGAATTGTTTTAAATCATTAAGTCTTAGGGTACTTTGTTATGCAGCAATAGATAACCAATATAGTATGCCTATGTTCAAACTTAGTAGGACATGCTAAAGATTTTTCCAAATTTACCTACACACTATCAGTGTTTGAGATTTTTAGTTGTTCCACTTCCTTGGCAACATTTGGAGCATTAGCGTTAGACTGTTAAGTCTTTTCAATTGTAGCTCTGCTGGTGGGTGTATGGTGTTTTTTTGCTGTGGTTTAATTTGCATTTGCCTGATGACTAATAGAGTTGAGCACTTCTTCATGTGTTTATTGGACTCTTGAACTTTTGGATATACTTTCTTGAGTCTTGGTAGAATCTTTTTTTTTTTGTTTTGTTTATTCAGCTTTCTATCTTTTTCCTATTGGAGTTTGTAGGAGTTTCTTATGTGTCCTGAATATAGTGCCTTTGTGGTTACACAAGTTCAACATATCTTCTCTCAATTTGTGACTTGCCATTTTGCTCTCTTAATGCTATTGCTTGATAAACATATATTTTTATTATTTTAATAATGTTTAATTTATCAGTCTTTTCCTTTAAAGTCTTTAAGTTTTTTGTGTTTTATGTAAGAAATGCTGTCTTCTCCAGGTCATGAAGATTTTTTTTTCTTTATTACCTCCCAGTGGTGTTGTATTTTTCCTCTTACATTTAGATCTACAATCCACATGGAACTGAGCTGTGAGATAGGGGTTAAGTTTAATTATTATTTCTCTTATGGATAAACAATTTACTGAACACATTTTCATTGAAAATTAAATTCATTCCCTGCTGTCCAGCAGTGTCATCTTTACTTTTGATATCTACCAGAATAAGTCCTTCCACCTCATTTTTCTTCTTCAAGGATGACTTAACTATTATTGGTTCTTTGCAGTTCTACATATATTTTAGAATCAACTTGTCAATTTCCATAAAAATCTGCTAAGATTTTAATTGGGATTGCATTAAATCAATAGACCAATTTGGGGAGAATTACAATTTTTACATTATTAAGCCTTCCAATTTAAGAACTTAGAAGAAATCTCACATATCTTTGATGTTAAATAGTATTATTTATTTT